AAGGCAATGATGCCACTAAAACACAAAGGGTTACTGAGAGTGAAAGAAAAGAGAAAAAAGGAAAAAGAACAGGATTCAGAAAGACAGAACATGCTAATTGATAATGCATTTAAATTTTTGATGATCATAAATAGCAGGGAAATGAGATTTCCACAGGCAAGAAACTACTAGAATAAAACTAGTTATATTTATTTCAACAGTAAAACAAGGAGACCTAGTTTTCATTCTAATAATTTGCTTAATTAGTCACATTTTGGGAAAAGGGTTATTTTTCAGCACCCCCTTCTCCACACGTTTCATGTAAACACCTGATAACGATATGATGTTTGAACAATGCTTATAAGTATAAACTGAGAAGAAAAACAATTATTTACAGCAGCAGCAATGTCTAAAAATAAAAATATATGAAAATAAAACAGTTTTCTGAGCAAATGCCGAGCTCATTTAAAGTATCTGATATGCTATCCTGTCAAGCACAATTATAAATCTTTAGTGAGTGAATCATTTATTTTAAGACTTGGCAAATGAACCAACAGTAGCATGATGTTACAAACCACTTCCTTATATCAGACAATTCTGAAGAAAAGTCATGGACATAGTAACTTTGAAAATTGATCTGAACACTAGAGATTTAGGAATTGAAATCTTGGTGAAATATCAAGTAGAGAAACTGTATTATCACAGGGCAAAAAAAAAATTCTAAGTTTTTAATTTTTAAATGCTTTAAAATAAAAACATTTTACTATGACTGTGGGAGAGACAATGTCTATAAAAAAAAAAAAAAGTAAAAAAAAAGGGACTTGGGCTAATAATACTTTTAGAAAAAGCATGAACTTTGGAAAATCTCAGCACAAACAGATACCTGCATATAAATGTGCAACTAGTAAAAAATCCACTTGAAACCTTAACTAAAAAAAATAGAAATTAGAAAAATAATGTCTCATCATACAGACTTTTTATGAATTGAATCAAATAAATAAAGCCTAGAGTGGCTTATAATATTGGAAATAGGATAACAGGTTTTTGTTCTTTTAATAGAATTTTTAATTCATTTTTAGAACATCAATAATTACCTAATGATGAAAAAAATAGGAATTTATTTTAAATAAAAATGTCAATCTCCTTCCTTGTCAAAACCCTTAATTCAAGAGAGACAGTGAATATGTCCACTCAAAATTTTATGAATAAATATGTACTAATCTATATCGATTTATTTATCCAACCTTTATTACGGGTCCTAAAAAGATCTCAGTTCAACAAACTCTAGAAAACTTGACCAAAAAGTCTTCTTTTTTTTTCCTTAAGGAAAGCTTCTCAGTTGGTTTGAGAACTTTCAGCAGTCTCATATATTGCTGAATTTCTATTTAAATAAACAGAAAATAAAGCTGATGATGGAATTAGAAATTGTAATTTCACTGTTAAAATAAACCTAGTAAGAACTATTTTTTTATGTCAGGTATAGATGACCATAGAAGAAAAATACCATACGAATCTTCTTTAAACAAAGGAGACTTGCCCAAGTGGCAGGATTAACAAGAAACTCAAAAGAAAAAAAATCTAAGCTCTCAATCACAATAATATCAAGTGAAATCTTTGGCTTGTTACCATAAGCCACTGACTACAGGTAATGGATCTGCAATGGTTTATGGTAACAAGCCAAAGATTTCACTTGGTATTATTGTGATTGAGAGCTTAGTTTTTCGGGGGTTTTTTTTTTAGTTTTAAAAATATTTTTTTCTGAAATGATATAATTTTGTGAAATAATATACTTTTTAAAGAGAACATATGCTTATAAAAGAATTCAGGAAAGTGTTTAAATATTTATAATAGAAAGATAATTTTAAAATTTAAACAGAGTAAATCAGGTTTTTAATTCAATAACAAGGAATAGAGAACAAAAATTGTTTGTTTAGAAAGCATTTTGTAGGATCACCCATGACCAATTTGAAAGTTATTTTTAAACATCTGACTAAAATGTAATATTTGGATTTGAGAAAAATATAAATTTAAAAATACAATGAAACAATGGATCATTCTGTCGATAAATTTTACATTATTTCATAGAAGGTAATGAAGGCTGTCCGTTATCTTCATTAGACGATTTTGTTCACATGCAATAACTTAAGAAACGATTACAAGATGCTTGAGGATACTATGCGATAAACTTTTCGAACTTCAATGAGCATTCAAAATTACTCTTATTGTCTGAAAATTTACTTTTTTTGTAGCAGATGTTTTTGTTTTAAATCTACTGAACAGAAAAAGTATTTTATGCACTAAGAATGAAAAGGCACATCTGTCTTTCTTTATCTATTTTTCTTTTCGCAGTCCGAGTAAAATTACTGACTTGCGAAATGTTTTTTCGCACAAAAATTAGGTACGATTTCGTTTGATTTGAAGTTTTCAGGTTCACCAAGGCTTATTCTGGTTTTGCTTGAACCACAATCATACCAGGTAAAACGTGTTAATGCTAAAGAAAGAAACATACATAATTAACTTTTTATACTGACAATACACAAAAGAAAGAAATGGACCGTGAGGAATAATCAAATTAATCCACATAAAATCACAATCGGATTAAAGAAAAAAAAAAGATCTATTTCGACAGACATTTTATTTTAATAATACTAGTAAGTAAGTGTTTCTTGGCTTGGAGATTTGAATAGATTGGGACTTTTAGAGTGATTTTTGAATTTAAAAAGGAGTGAAGTGGATGGAGGAAAAGGCTAAATGGCGGAAAGACTGAAGTGAAATATGAAAATTTAAAATACAAAAACCCTAAGTAAAAAAAAAAAAAAAAAAATTAATTTTAAGGACAAAAATTATTAACAATATGGTAGGAGGGAGGTGAAGATTTTTTTTTTGTTTATTGTGTACGTGTGCCGGAGTTGAAAGTTTAAAACTTCACAAGAAATTCAGCAGTTGTTCCAATAAACATCCAGTTTCTATTTTTTTTATGAGAAAAATATGATAAAAAAAATAATTAAGTCGTTTGGCAACTTTTCGCAGATACATTATTGTAGCAATGTAGTGGTTGGTTGAGTTCCATTGTTTTTTGTAAAGGATGATGAGAAAACCTAACCACGAACGAAGCAGAAAAAAAAAAAAATTAAAGACAAGCAACACAGACAACCGGATTAACATTTTTAAAGTAGAAAAAATAAAAATGCTTGCCATTCACTATTAAAGGAAAACACGTCTACGTTAAAACTGATTTTGTACTCATTTATTGTTTTAAATGAAGATTTATTCAGCAAACAATCAAGATTCAAGAGACCATATGGTTCGTTTTGTTACACCGAAGAACTGACAAGATCTTAAACTCCACGTGTACCTCATAACAATAAATTACCTTATCCGTCATCACAATCAAAAGTCAAAACTCGTGCATTTTTACCAGTTGATTTTAAGGTGGTAAAATAAATAGGTAACAAATACAATTACCAGGAAAATAAAACATAGCACTCATACCACTGACCAGGAAGTGTTTTCTTTTATTAATTAAAAATAAATAAATCAATCGCCAGAATGAGCCAAAATGATAAAAAAAACAACAACAATGAAAGTTTTCAATAGCGTAAAATTGCAAAAATCATCAAGCCGGTGTAGCATTTTGAAGAAATATAGACAGGTTTTAAAGATTTATCAAGAGTAATGACACAGGAAAACTTACCTTGATGCATATGGTAAGAGAAAAAGACGTAGGGGTTTCCACCCGACTCAAGATTTTTTATTTTAATTAAATTAAGGTTGCCTTTTACGTGCAATATGTTTCGCAAATAAATAAAAATCTGGCTCGGTGCGATGGTAATTGATTTATTTTAAAACTTTAGTTTATTCATTTTCCATGCTTTTTAAATTCATTAATTTCAAAATTAAAATAGTTTCTGGCAAACTTTTTTTTTTAAGAAAATTGATTTGTGGCCATATTACTCAATCAATTTTATTTTAAAGGAAAAAAATATTTTGACAATTTTATTTTTATGTTAATGATTTCTAAAAATTAAAGAAGAAAAAAAAGCATGGCTTTTCAACTGAACAATCGCAATGAAAAAGAAAAAAAAACTAAACAAAACGATGTTATTTCAGTCTGATTTTTTTTTTTTAGCTATTTTCTTTTTCAAATTCAAAACAGAAAATTAAGAACTACAGCAAAATAAATTATTACTCAATTAATTACTTATAAGAAAAAAAAGACTTTAATTAAAAAATGAACAATATGCAAAAAAAACTAAAGGCTACTACGAAAAATAAACGTAAAATTAAAAATAATTATTTAAAAACTTCAGGAGATAGAGTGTAAAAAAACAACAATGAATGAACAAAAAAATCGTTTGTGAAAAGGAAAATCGTGAAGATCAATATGCCAGTCTTTTTATGATTCAAAACTTTAAAAGTTCCACCTGTAGTGTAAAAAGAGCTAGAAACTTTTGATTTGTAGCAAATATTAGTTTGTTTGTTTTTTAAAATTATTTCAAATAAGTTATAGTCATGCAAAAATATAAAACAAATTATTTTGAATTCGATTTATTTAACAAACATGTTACTAAAAAAATAAATGTGGTTTTAGTTAGAAGTTTGAAATTGTCTTAAGTTTTCATTTTCAACGTTGGAGTTTTAGTTGTCATTTAAAAAAATCGAAAAGAATTTTAAAAACTCAAAAATGAAAAAAGTAATGTTCAGTTAAACTTAAAACTATTTTTTCCCCAAAGTCATTTTTTAAAAAGTGATTATAAAAAGTCAAAAAACAAAAAAAAAACATTTGAAAAAGATGATTTAAGACAAAAAAAAAAAAAAAATGAACTGTTGAACTTGACAGTGAACATCCTATTCATAACGATTAAAAAAACAATAACGTATTGTTAACTTAATCGGGGGAAATAATTAGAAATAATAAATAATTTCATCGTTGTAATTGTCGAGGGCGCTGAACCGTTGTTTGAAGTAATGTTTATTTTGAAATCTAGTTTAGGCTGTTGTTACTTTTTAAAACTACCAACCTCCTCCGTGTTCCCAGAATGGGATTCCCTTATCCTTTTGGGTTAAGTGTGGACCTTTAAAGCTGAGCTTGTATTCGAACCTCAGCCAGGGTGCCGTGGACGAGCAGATAACAATGTTAGACAACAGTACCAGGATAAAAACCGCCGAGAAAAGGACAGCTGGACACCAGCGTATCGCTACGACAGCCATTTTGACTGGTGCAAGAATGCAAATACACAAACAAAGTGCCGCCTAGCGGACACCGGCGAATGTTAAAAAAATGCTAGATATCAACACAGGGGAGGTAACTCTAAGAGAACATTTGGTTTTGGCATGCTTCGGAAGAAAGGAAGAAGGAAATAAAAGGAAAACATGTTCGGTATTTTCTCCTCTTCCTCCTACTTCTCCTGAAAGTAATGCGTGTGTCTATGTGGTTGGCTAATTCCATGTGACGTCTTCACGTCTCAAGCGATATAGAATATTTGCAAAATATTCAATTTCTTTAAAGCGGAAAAAGTTAGGAAGTTACAGAAAAAAGGGACAAATAAGAATTACTGAGTCACAGAAAAATTCTTCGTGCCTAGCCTAATGTATAACATTTTATTTAATTTGAATTAATACCCTCATAATTTTCTTTCTTTTATTTCTCATTCATGGATGTGACTTTGAAATTTGAAGTGGCATGTGCATCTTGACACAGGTGTCTTGTGGTTTTACCTGCCAGTTTCTGAAATTGCTCTCCCCCCCCCGCTCTAAATCCTGCATTGACAATTTTCTTATGAACTAGGTGACTTTATAAAAGTTTTATTTTTTTATTACTGTTCTTTGGTATAAATAAAAAATGTTTATCGTCTAGGATTTTTTTTTTTTTTGTACACGTTATTGTGTGAAGTGTATTAAGAAGGCCAGATGGTTTGTGTAAAAAATTGTTATGTACAGTGACCTAAGAAAAGTCTTTAGCCAGGAGAAATAAAAACTACATCCAATTTCAAAATTTAATTACATAATCCCAACTCAGCATACAGTATTTGAAACTAGTATGGAGTAGGTCCGCCATTTGCTAGTTTCAGAGCTTGTATTCGATTTTTCATGGATTTGATCCAGTTATCAGCAATTGTCTGATCCATGTTTTGCCACTCCTTTAGCAATGTTTCTTTAAGGGTTGCCACTGAGGTGATTTTGGTTGCATGCTCACAAAGTTTTTGGTCAAGATGCTCCCAAACGTGCTCTATTGGATCCATGTCAGGACTTTGGGCTACCCATGACAGTGACTTGATTCCCTGCAATTCCTTCTAGGCCTTTGCTATTTTGCTTGTATGACATGGCACACCATCTGGTAGACATTCTTGTCAATCTGATTGGTTTCAAATAGTGAGTGTAATCCTTTCTCTAATATTTGACAGGTTTTTGAACCATTCAACTGCTCATCAACAAGAATCAGCTCAGATTTCCCTCCAAACCAGACAGTGCCCCACACCATTATTGGAATCCCTCTATGTTTCACAGTCGCCTGCAGACTTTCAGTGTTCCAAATCTCATTCTCATTTCTCCAAACATAAACCTTTTTCGAATTCAAATACTGGCAGAATTTACTTTCATCTGACCAAATTAAAGACTACCAATATTCGTAATCTTTGTTCTTGAATTCTCTTGCCCAGTTCATATTGGTTCCTGTTAACTCCTAAAATCAAGGGCTTCTTTCCTGCAACTCTTCTTTGATAGTCTAGCTCTTTCAGAGTCTTTTTCACTGCGTATGATGACATTTCCATGCTGTTGGCAACATACTTGATGCTGGGACGATGGTTTCTGATGACTTTGTGGAATCTTCCACCCCTTTCAGAAAGATGTATTCTTCCCTAAAAAAAAAGCCTTAACCAATTGCCTAAACTGTAGCAAAGTCAAAACAGATCTTTTTTCCTGCCGAAGCTCCCTGGAGCCAATTTTTAGACACCAAAGTCTATATAAACAGCCACATGACTCAATTCAAGTCAGTCAGCCACCAAGTTTCGTGAGATGCTACCAAACTCCACCCGTGTCAATTCACTGACTCAACATCACTTCAAAATTCTCAACAAACTCAACACAGCACTCAATCAACCATTGTCCGTGTAGTAATCAAATTACAGTTGACTTAAAAAGTGAATGTTTTTACTACACAAACAGTAATTGTACAATTCATCAATTTAGCCAAACAGTTAACGGCAAACAACTCTTCAATTCTAACAAGTAACACATGCATACACACTAATATTTGACTGAACACATTTGAGATTTTTCCTTGCAGAAACCAAATTATTTTAATTTCACTAACAAATCAAAACCATTAACTTTTATTGACCAAATTTCTGCATGAACATTCTTCATAACCTTGTCTCAATTGCCACAATCAACAAGCATTCTGTTATCCTTGCATGTATATCTATTGTATATATAAAAATCTCTTTATTGTTGGATCTCTAACCACTGTGTTTTTAGTAATTTCTTGCAATGCAAATTGTCCTTATATTCTTTATTTGATCTACATGTTGTGGAATAATGCATAATAAGCATGCATAATCTTTGTCTTACATAAATTACCTTCTGATACAATTTTCACTCAGTTACAACCCACAACAACTTCCCTCTTCAGTGCCCTTTTCATTCACTCAGGCATGATGCTTAGTCTTCCTGAACACTGTTCCACACAGCAATGGCCATCTTCATTAAATTTCTTGACAATATTATTGACCATTTGATGATTAACCTGGAAAGACCTAACAATTGCTCTATTTGACTTGCCACACTTATGCCATCTTATTATTTGCCCTTGTTGAAATTTCCAATACTTCCGCAAACTTTCATTGCAAAATATAAATCAATTATCATTCATAGATGAGAGTAGCTTGATACTAACGTATGTTTGAATATTGTCTGAAAAAAAGAACATACATTATTACACAAGCCAAAATTGCTGTAATCAAGGGTGGCTAGAAACTTATAGCCCACTGTGTATTGTTTTAGGCTCAGTGGTTAAAAACTGCCAAAATTGTTAAGAATCCATTTCAAGTTTATGGAAAATTATTTCAGTATCTGTATATATTGAAGTATTATGTACACTATTTACATTGTCCGGACTATTGTCCTCATCTTTGTTGCCATATTTATCACAATGTTTTGGCTGTTGTATGCTCCGGCCTTCTTCAGGTGGTTGGAATATCAAACTGAACCCTCTATTTAAAAATAGTCCCATAGCCTGACGAGACCCAAGACATCATTAGGCAGGAAATTCAATCTCTGTTTTGTCTCCATGAAGTTACAGTATCAAGACACACAATGTCATGCTGGTGACAAACCAAACAGATAAGTACAAAATTTATATTGTTTTGGTATCCTGTCTTTTCCAAGTAGATACATGCTAACCTTGTATTAAGAATTTCAAATATAAAATATATATATACAATTGTTTTTATACAATGACTTTTGTATTTTGTTTGAACTTTTCATATAAAGGGTGTTCCAATAACTTGGACCAGTTTTAAATGTGAATTAAGTTTAAGTGTCTAATGATTTTTTTCTTTTTCTTTCAGATTTAACAACTTAAGTCTTTGGCAATTTCAACCATGGAAACGGATGATAATGGTTATGTCCCCGTTCACATAAATACAGTAGTAAATACTGTATATTGGCCTGCAGTTGGAGATTTATTGTGGAATTCACTTGACTCACTTCTAGCAGTTGACTAATTCTACACACCGCTGGGGAATCTTATATGTGTTGTTCTTGTCCTAAGTATTATCATTCATTACCAACTTTTGTGTGATTATTCTATTCAGTAACCTTTCTTAGGTTACAGCAATAACTTTTATTCATTTACTGCCTGAAAGTAGCAAGGACTATTTTTGTATAACAGAGTGATTTACCTGTAGAAATAAAACTCCAGTTGTATAAATAAATATATCTAAATATTAGAAATGAAGAATGAAAAAATATTTTTTATCTGAATTTCTTGGATGAGGAACTGTCATTATTTATATGCAGACTATAGTCCTTATCTTTGTTGTTGATATCGCAATATTTCAGCTTGTGACTGGTTTTGTCAGTTTAGTTCCAAGTAGTCTATGATCAGATTCAAAGTAAGAATTGTATACTCTAACATATGTCACAAACTGCCTAATCCAACAGTCTGAGATGCTGAAGTCAATAATCTTCTTGTTACATTTTCTGAGAAGTACCATGTGATGTGATATTTCATGGGATGGTTAAACCATGTGTTAAGGATGGAATATCTTTTTCTACATTCTTTTTGGAAGGGTGATGTCTTCTTACACCCTTGTGCAAATTAATTGAAACAATTGATTTAGTTTCCTTTCTTTCACCATATGGTCACTTTTAGACCCACTGGAGTGAGAGGGTGTAATTAATTTCTATTTTTTCCTCATTTGCAGTGGTGTGCAGTAATATTAATCTATTTTCGGAGTGTATGATGAAATTTGTTTGACCTTGAAAAATATTGCATCATCTGTGATTGCATCAGATTTTCATCACACCCAGACACTATTGTCTCGATTGTCAATTAGTTGCCCTATGGCTATTGTCTACAATGGACGTTACCCCAAGGAAGCATACAAAAGTTGTAACATTGCATGAACACACTGACAAAACTTATCAGTGAGCAAATCCAAGTACTATCAACTGGCTTGGAAATTGTTCTGATTTAAATCTAATCAAGAATCTGTGGTCAATCTGCAAGGAAAGACTTTGTGGAATGGACATACGAAATACTAACATGTGTGCTGGATCATGTTTCATTGGAAAAATATGAAAAAAAGTAAATAATTATTTGTTTTGTTCCAATTAATTTGCATGAGGGTGTACTATCAGAGGAAAACTGTCATTCAAAAATACTTGAAATAGCATTAAAATCTCCATTAATGTACAGTTTTTAGATTTTCTCTAATATACAAAGTTTACTTAATACTGTGTAGAATTTATCTTTTTATGAAACAACATTTTTTTTCATTTGAGGTATAAAGCTGATACTACTTGGATTTTACAGCCACAAACAACAATGTCGGCAGCCATCAATTTTCCTGACTGGTGTACAATGTTGTCTATTATTATATCTGATGATTTATATATTTCAATTTCAACTCCGTGTTGTCTCTTCTCTTTGTGGCCAGTTCAAAATAAATTGTATCCCAAATGTGCAATAGAGTCACTACTAAATCGAC